GATCGGAGGTAAAGCCCTTGAACCCGACCAATTTTCTCCGGAATTGGTTGATATGCTTAGACACCAAGGGCTTTTAGATACATATCTCACCATCAAGGGGATACGTACCCCGAATTGGTGAAAGAATTCTATCAACATCTTGTAGCCACCAAACGGGGCGATAAGCTAGAAATCACCACCAAGGTCCGCGGCAAGGAAATCATACTTTTCGAAGGCCGTTTGGCCAAGCTCTTGAAATTGACCACCACGGGTGTGTCAAGCTATGACCGAAAGGGGTGGATCGATACCCAAAACACGGGGTACAAGGACTATCTCGGGTACCTACTCGGGAGAGAAGACGGATTCACCGCGGCCACACGACCAAATAGGAAGTGGCTATCGGCGGAACAAAAGATATTGGTTATGATTGTAACCGATAGCCTCTTGCCCACGAACAATAAAAGCAAGGACGTGGGGAGTTTAGAGTGCACCTTTGCCTACTTCTTGAAACACAAAATCAAGTTCAACCTGCCGGCCCTCATGCTAAAACACATGGAGTTTTGCAAATCAAGCAACCGACTTAGCCTACCCTACGGGATGATCCTAAGTTGAATCATGGAGAAAAAGGGGGTGGACCTAAGCCACATCGAGGTTAAAACCGCAAACGACATGATCTTTAACGCCCAGAATCTCCGCCGCAACGACATCTACTTCACCGAAGGGGGACACTACCTCACCATCGAGGAAATTTGCCAAAAACCCGAGGAGGAACGAAGAGAATTGGTCGACCAATTAGACATCTCCAACAAGAAACTCAAGCGGGCAATGCAAGATTGTGGGATCCCGGGGGAAAATGAGGACTGGGAGGAAGACGACGAGCCCGGACCGCCGTTACACCCACGACCACGAGGGAATCCCAGGGAGCAAAACGAGAGCTCGATCATTGAGCGCAAACTCGTGCAACTCAACCGACAAAACCAAATCACGGAGGAAGGGTTCTCATCCTTGATCCGTACGACACGCACGCTAGATCAGAGGGTGGCAGCAATCGAGGCCACCTTGGGCACTCGCGGAGCATCCAGCTCAGGAGCAGGAGACTGAGGTAGACCTAAAACCCTTCTATCACAGCGCCACCAGAAATCCAGTCTACCCCAGCTAAGGCAAAACGTGAGGGCCACATTCCTAACCGGGAGGCTAAGATACGGGATGCCTGGGGTGAAAGAGTGGATTAACACACCGGGCTTCGGGGACGAAGCCCCTCGTAAGGGGGGGAGAGTGTAACACCCCGTGTTACGATCCCTAAAATCAATTAAATCATTTAGCCAATTACCCAACAGAAGCAATTAAATCACAATAGTTAATTAGGAAAGGCGCACCATAGTCCATGGGCCCTTATCCCTAAACCCAACCCTTAGTCCCAAAAGGAATAGAATTAGCAAGCCTATAATATTAGTTCCTAATTAGGACTCCTAAATATATAAATAGGGGACGTAAGAGGCACCTAGAAACCCCCCACCACAATAACGTCCCACCACTCCAAAGAGCTCCAAGAATTCCCTTAGAAGAAATCAAGAAAGCAAGAAAGCTTAATGAAAGACCCTTCGTAGCCAAGGAATTAATTAAGGCTAAGAGGTAACCCATGTCTCAACAAAACCTATTTTCATAGCTATGATTTCCCCATAGGATTTCCCCATATTATTGTGTATTGATGATTTGTATTATTATTGATGATTAATGGGATAATTCCATGGGTGATCTTGATGATGAGAGGTTCTTGATAATTAAGGTGTTCTTGATGATTATATGACATTCTTGATGATTGTATGATGTTCTTGATGATTGTAGGATGTTCTTGATGTTTATGTGATATTCTTACCGAATCTTGATATTAGAAGATGAATTGTGTCCTTGTTGATTTAAAAATGATTAGAACCCTAAGTTGTATCGTATGGAATTATTCTTGGTATATTGGGTGGGAATTCGCATGATTGGGTGTTGATTATGTTTAGAAAAGCATGATAGGTTATGTGCCATACGTTTCTTGAATTTGATCCGTTAATTGTCTACGTATGTTATCAATTGCGTTTGAAAGTGTCTAAGCATGGTTTCGGGTTCCACAAAGGTTCCCGGGGCGTTTTTATGATGAAAGAGTCAGTGGGGGGTAGGTGGGGGTAGGGGACCCGCCACCTACCCGCGGCCTTCTTGGGCAACGCCGGCAGTGGGCAGCCGGCGGGCGGGCAGCTGCCCGCCGGGCACCCGCTGCCCGAATTTGCTACCGCCGGCGGGCAGCTGGCGAGTGACCCCTCACCCACCGGCTACCCGCTGGTTTGGACCCCAATTTGGGATTTCGGCTTCCCCGTTTGATGTTTCCCCGACCCCCGTGGTGTCCCAACGGACTCCGTCTATCGTGCCTATGTTTAGTTTGATTTTCGGGTACCGTTCTATGAGTCTTGTGTATTGCATGCTAGTTGAATTGGTATCCCATTGACCTAGGTGAAAGAAGTATGAATCGCTTAGGACTATTCATAGTATGTGAGGGATCACGCATAGGTTTTGTTATACGTTTTCTCCCCCTTCCCAATGTGTTAATGTGGGTTGCATGTGCTTGCTATATGTTATGTGTGCATGTTACCCCGACTTGGTTGAGATCAATCGGGCTATACGGGCAGTCGGGTGGGCTGAGAACCATACCGGCTGTTAACCAGGCTGGTAGAGACCGGTCAGGTATATAAATATTATATAGGACTAAGATCCACTATACGGGCATGTAGACACAGAAAATTTGAACCTAACAAATGGACTGATAAGTGGTTATTGGACCGACATCGGGATTGATTATTGGGCCAATTTAATTAATTGGATCATAGAAATTAAATTGATTTAATTAGTCCAATTAAATAAGATTTGGGCTATTGAATTAATTGATTAGTTAGCCCAAGCCCACTTCATATTTGAATTTAAATTATAATTATAATTTAAATATAATATTAATTTTATTATATTTGAATTAGATAATTATAATTTAATTTGAATTTGAATTAGATTATACAATAATGAACCTGGACTTGATCTTGGACAAGGTTCATTTTCCTAATTAATTAATTAATTAATTAGTTAACTAAAAAGGGGATTTAGTTGAGGAATTTTGGTTAAGCTTTTAGTATAAATAGGGCCTTCATTTTCATTCCAACACACCACTTGAAAGCTTGAAGCACTTGAAAGCTTGAAGAACTTGAAGACTTAAGGAGTTGAGAGCATTTGAAGAGCATGAAGGCATTGAAGAACGCTTGAAGATTTGAAGGCATTTTTGTTGATTTTGCAGGCAATTTGAATCCATTGCAGGTACTTTGGAGCTTTGCAGAATTGATTGTCTCGAAGATCTTGAAGTCTTTCGAAGGCATTTGAGGATCTTAAAGCAGCTTGAATCCATTGCATGTGTTTTTGAAACTTTGCAGGGTTGATTACTTCTAAATTCTTGACGCTCGTTGTTGGAAGTTACGCCACTTGAATCCCGGAAGCTACGCCACTTGAATCCCGGAGGCACACGCCAATTGAATCCCGGAGGCTACGCTACTTGAATCCCGGAGGCACTTCCATAGATAACGTCAGTGAAGAATCAGAGGACTAGACAGAGATTTTGTACCTGCATTGAATTATACACACACTGTACAAGGAATTTTGTGAATATATACAAAGTTTACTTTTTTGTGTTTACAGATTTTGGCACGTCCAGTGGGACTACTCTGCCTCTCATCTCTTCACTATTGATTCACGAGCTCTACAAGGAAGGAATCCAAATGGCATCAAGAAATCCCTCCTCTAAGATGACCTATGCTCAAGCTACCCGCTCCAAGGCCTCATCCGTGGCCGGTTCCGGTGATAGCCAAAATGTGGAAGGAGCAATGACTCGGAGCCGAGTGAGGAACCTAGGGGTGCAATTGAACGAGACTCGGAACATGGTTCGTAACATCGTCCGAAGGATTGAAAGCAGCTCCACCAAGTCATGGAAAACTGCATATGACAAGGGTTCATCTTCGACGAGGGAAACTATTGGCAGCAAGAGTATGACTCCCCCAAAAGGAACCCCTAGTAGCGGTAACTCGTCTCCTACATCTCAGTCATCACCTCTGCCGAAAATATCGTCGGAATTGACTCACAGCTACACAGTCATGCTCGTTATGACGACGAACGCAGCTTCGGTGGAGGAACAACTAGCAAACATCACCAAAGCTCTTGAGGGGATAACTACGTTCACTACAAAAAAACGCTAAAATAGCGACGGACTTTTCCGTCGCTAAAAAGGGGAAATTCCGTCGCTAAAACGTATAGCGACGGATGTAGTCCGTAGCTAAAAACCCCGTCGCTAGACTTTAGCGACACAAAATTTTTCCGTCGCTAAATCTTGTGACGGAAGAGTCCGTCGTTAGCCGAAATAAATCCATCGCTAAATTCCACTAGGCGACGAATTTGGAGACGACCTTTGTGACCGAATAACGACCGAAGAATCGGTCGCTATATTTAGCGACGGAATTTCCGTCGCTAAAGCCAAAAAAAAAACGTCATTCCGCTTCTACTACTACGTAACAGTGACGACATTTGCAACGACTTAGCTACGGATATTTCCGTCGCTACAAATAGCGACCGACATGACCGTCGCTATTCTCCGTCGTTAATTTAACGACGGAGCTTATCCGTCGCTAGAATTTTATTATTATTTTAATTTAATGAGATTTAACTACAACTTAGTGACAAAAATATCCGTCGCTAAATTTAACTACGGATTTTTTCGTTGCTATTTCGTTGCCTTACTACCATATTTATCTGTCGCTAAATTTTAAAAATTAATAAAATAATTGTACTCGCTAATTAATATCAGAAACATGCATTAAGGCTATAATATACTACTTGAATATTATAATTATAAAATATTCTATATTAAAGCATTCAAAATGAATAACAACAACAAAAGTATTGTAGTATAATGTTACATCATTAGTACTAGTACCAAATATATTAAAAAACATAATCTAATCATCTCCTAAGTTTTCAGCATTTGAATTAGCCGATTGTTGAGCTTGAGTACTTGGATTGGATAGCATACCATTGCGACGCAACTCATCCATCAAACTTGCAATTTGAGCTTGCATTTGGGTCTGTACTTGAGCCTGCATTTGAGTTCTTTCAGCTTGTAGTTTAGCTTCCATCTCACCTCGCATGGTCTCTAACTGTTGGTTCATCATCTCCTTCATTGTCTCTTGTTGAAGTTGTGAAGTAGCAGATGAACTACAGCTATTCCCGCTGATAAATGCAGATGATTTAGTCCCTAAGCCACATAAATAAAGCTGCAAAAAAACAATCATGCATTCATAAACCTCCGGTACCCACAGGCGGTTTAGCCGGAGAAAATACAAGTGCCGGTACCCACAGGCGGTTTAGCCGGCAAATAAACAACAAATAAGCAATCATGCATATTTTTATAAACTTCCGGTACCCACAGGCGGTTTAGCCGGAGAAAACACAAGTACGGGTACCCACAGGCGGTTTAGCCGGTAAATAAAGAACAAATGTAAAATATGTAATTGTTCAAACCTTATCAATCGCTGAAGAACTTGAAGAATCTTGAGTGTAATAATGCGATTTCCAACAAATATTTGTGAATCTGGAACAGATTTGGAACGAAGTCTAAGACAGATATGTTTGATGATAAAAAAATAGTAATACTGGCAAAGAAGAAACACTTTTATAGCAAAAACTGTAGATATAACTAGAGTATTGATTAGAACAAAGGTTAAAACTTCAACTCTCAACAGTAATGCATTATGAGTTTATGACTGTGGTGGTCAATTTTAAAAAATGCAACTAAAGTCCCAACTTACAACTTGAATGCAACAGGGAATGGAAAATGAATGGTGATGGCACAATGAGATATAACTAGAAATGCAAAATCCATAAGAATCCTAAATTCAATAAATGTATTATGTAACAGAATAGATCCTAATTAATGAGAAAAATAATGATCATGAAAATGGTGAAGCATGAAACCATTGTCTAATCTGTTTCTCCTCTGATCTCTACCACTACAGATAGAAATGATCAATATAATGCTTGCTTTTACTGCAAATCATGTTTCATTTTGGCTCAACTATATAGAAAAATCATCACTGTTCTAATCAAATAATAGATAAGAATATAATGCCTTTATTCACTTTTCATTATTGAATTGATAGTTCTCTTTATGGTCTGTCACCATGCCTCAACTATATATAGAAAAATACTCCCAATGGACTGCATGTTCTAATCAATGATGCCCAAATTGATAAGAATGGCTTTATTAACTTTTCATTATTGAACTGTAGCAAATGAACCACTTCATCTATACATTAATATTCTGTCTTTACTACAAATGCATTTAAACAAATCCAGAAGCTAAAAATCCTTAGACTTAAATAAAAAGTATTAACAGATAGATAAAATAAGAAACAGAAACAAGAATTTAAGCAAAAAAGATCAGATACACTAAGTGAAACTTAACAACATCAGCTCCAGAACATAAAGTTTGATCATTACCTTGTGGCAATTGTAAGTGAAAACATTAGAGCATTGCCAATTTTCCCATTCAACATTTAAACCCAAAAACTAATGTTTAAGAAATTTGAAGAAAAATGCTCCTATGCATGGTTCCAATAATGGCCTGGGCTTTAATTTGCAAATCAGATAGATCAGATTTCATTTCGAATTAAAAACGTGGATTCTCAGAATGAAATCATATCTTAATTAATGTTAAAACCCATTGTTTTAATTTGCTTCTGGGGCACCTCAAAGGCCAGTATTGGGAACCAATGGTAGCTACCCAAAATGCACAAACAGATCAAGATTCACATACATCATACATACACTGGGACTTTGCTATTTTGCTTAATTACTTCACCGAAGGCCAATGCTATTACTTAATAAACAAACTGAAGATGATAAATAGATTTCAATCCAAGTAGACCCTACCATTTTAAACGCTCTATTATGCCATTTTAATCTGATTAGTGTTTACCTGGATCAATGGAACGCCGAAGACACCGAAGACGCCGGAGACTGCCTTCTGCCGGAGATGGGAGAACGCCGGAGATTGTCCACACCTGGTACCGAAGGAGAAGACAGAACCGTCGCAGACGCGGTGAGAGTTAGCAAGCGGTCGGCGGTGGGAGGCAGCGAGCGGCCGGCAGTGGGAGGCAGCGAGCGGTCAGCGGTAGGAGGCAGCGAGCGGTCGGCGGTGGGAGGCAGCGAGCGGTCGGCGGTGGGAGGCAGCGAGCGGTCGGCGGTGGAGGAAACTAACGGCGATGGCGGAGAAGTTTTCTGAGAGGGAGGATGTGAGCGATAGGGTTCTGAGCGATAGGATGCCAATAATTACATATGTTAAAAGAAAAAAAATAACCTTAGCTACGGACTAGTATCCGTCGCTAGGAATATAAGTTAAAATTCGATCCAAAAGGCTAGCGACGGAATGCTATCCGTCGCTAGATTATATAGTAAAACTCAATAAATAAGCGTAGCGACGGACGGATATCCGTCGCTTGCTAGGTATAAGTTAAAATCTGATCCATAATGCTAGCGACGGAATATTATCCGTCGCTAAATTATATAAGACAATATTCCATAAATAAACTTAGCGACGGAAATAAAATTCCGTCGTTAAAATATTGTATAAAATTCGAGCTTCATAAATCTAGCGACGGATTTAAAAATCCGTAGCTATTTAGCTACGGATGTAAAAATCCGTAGCTATTTAGCTACGGATTTTAACATCCGTCGCTAGATTATAAACAAAAACACATTTCCGTTGGCATATCTAGCGACGGATTCTTATATCCGTCGCTAGGTTGTAGCAATTAAAATATTGGCGTAACCCTGCGAAATTTCCGTCGCTAATCCGTCGCGAATCTGTCTCTAATTTTCGCACCAAAGTTTGGCGCTAAAATTAGCTGCGTCTGTATCGACGGAAAGTTTCCGTCGCTAAGCCGTCACTAGACCATCGCTAAATTTTCATTTAACAAAAAAATTGAAATCTGTCGCTAATCGGTCGCAAATTTAACAACGGAGCATATCCGTAGCTAAAATCGTCGCTATATTCGCGTTTTTTTGTAGTGGTTCATGCATAACCAAGAAAGGAGAATCAATGAGCTCAGTGAAAAGGTTGAAAGCGGAAGAAACGGCGAAACAAGTCGAGCTTCCGAGAAGCAGCCTCAAACCCAAGAGGATGAGATTGATGTCGAGTCACCGCGTCATAAAGGTAGGCCAGGAATGGAAGAGACAATCTCTCGTCCACCACCCGCTGAGAAAAGTATTCCAATTTCTGAGGGCATGATACATGTCGAGCAATTGAACGACTACATCATGGGAGCAATTAAAGGGAAGCTCGAGGGAGGACAATCTTCATACACTTACACTAAGCCCTATACTCAGAGGATTGAAGAAATGAAGATGTCGCTGGGCTATCAACCTCCCAAGTTCCAACAGTTTGATGGAAAAGGCAACCCAAGGCAGCACATCGCCCACTTCATTGAAACCTGTAATGATGCAGGAACATACGGAGATCTCCTCGTCAAGCAGTTCATTCGCTCTCTGAAGGGCACTGCATTTGATTGGTACACCGACCTGGAGCATGGTTGCATTGATAGCTGGAATGATATGGAGCGCGAGTTCTTGACCCGCTTCTACAGCACAAGAAGGACTGTCAGCTTCTTGGAGCTCACCACTACCCGCCAATGGAAGGGTGAACGTGCAGGCGCCTTCATCGAGAGATGGAGGGAGTTGTGTCTCAACTGTAAAGAGAGGATATCACAAAGCTCTGCAATTGAAATGTGCATCCAAGGCATGCACTTTGAGCTCTCTTACATCTTGCAGGGAATCAAGCCCAGGACATTTGAAGAACTATCCAGTCGTGCTCATGACATGGAATTGAGTATTGAAGCCAATGGGGGACTAAACATGTCAAGTATGTCCAGCTCATCAAAGGCACCTACAAACCAAGATGTCAACAAATGGAGTAAGTTCTTTCCAAAGCAAGAGAAGAAAGAGACGATGAATATGATGACAGGACCAATGCGGGTTTTCGCCAAAATGGCTGAGAAGCCCAAGCCGATATCATTCCCTGGCCCATCAAGGGGAGCTAGAAAAACAATTGTTGAAGAGTGGCAGGAGAAACAATATCCATTCTTGGATTCTGACGTTTCTCCTATGTTTGACGAGTTGCTGAAACTCAAATTAATTGAATTGCCTGAGATGAAGCGCCCCGAAGAAGCTTCTAGGGTGGATGACTTAAACTATTGCAAATATCACCGTCTCCTCAGCCACCCAATTGAAAAGTGCTTCGTCTTTAAAGATAGAGTCATGGCGCTTGCTCGAAATGGGAAGATAGAGCTTGCGGATGCTAGCGCAAGCACAAACCAAGTTTCATGTGGAAGGTTTGCTCCATTACTTATGGAAGATAAAGAGAAGAATGGGGGCAAGCAACATAAATGCAAACTTCCATTTAGAGCAAAGCATGCTGGCGTCCAGTATTTAAAAACATCACAAGTTGATCCTGTTAGTCATATTAAGCCATTAAAGAAAATGACAAAGCAATGGGTTGAGAAGAAGTCGGCAAGGGACCCCGTCCATGACTTGAAGAAGGAAGGACGTCCCAGCAAGCCACGAGCACCAGTTAACCTAGCTCAATACATGCCAAAGGGGTTTCGCCTGAGTAGAACAGACATTCTTGGAACTTGCTTGAATGCCAATGAAGAACATGTTGAAGTGGGAGAATCTTCATTCCCCTTGATTGAAGGAAGCAACGAGGTCCAAACTCGCAAAGCCGCGTCTTATACCGCCGAGATAACTTTTAAAGATGAAGATCTATTTCTTGGTAGTACACCACATAATCGTCCGTTGTTTGTTGAAGGTTATGCCCGCGAGCAAAAGATTAAAAGGATTTTGATTGATCAAGGGTCGGCTGTGAACATTCTGTCACTCCGGGCTATGAAGGAACTCGACATCTCCACCGATGAGCTCTCTCAAAGCCGCTTAATGATTCAAGGATTTAATCAAGGCGGACAAAGAGCACTGGGTACCATTAGACTCGACCTCAGGATCGGAACACTAAACTCAAGTACACTATGTTATGTGATAGATGCAAGGACGTCCTACAATTTGTTGCAAGGTCGACCTTGGATACATGAGAATGGAGTAGTCCCCTCATCCTGGCACCAATGCCTCATGTTTGAAAAAGGCGGTGTGATAGAAAAGGTATTCGCCGATGAAACTCCCTTCACCGAAGCAGAGTCGTACTTTGCAGATGCAAAATTTTACTTGAAGAAACAAGTTGTAGAGGAGGCTGACCAAAGCGATGTTGACACACCTCCCAATCCAAAGTGGAAAGGCAAACAAGTCGTAGACCAACCTCATTGCCATAAGGAACATGTTTTCCCGCTTACAAGAATTGTACCATTGAAAGCTCCCCCAGCCAAACCGCTTGGAGAAGAAACTGAAGATAACGATGCTCGGGATGGAATAGATGAAATGTTGCATGTTAAGCGCACTAATGGCTTTGACCCCAATGCTTATAAACTTCTAGCTAAAGCTGGCTACAATCCCAAGCAGCCGCAGAAGTTGGGGAAGCTTATCCCAGAAGCCGGCGGTAAAGGCAAGTCAAATCAGCAGGGACCGCATGAACGTAAAGGATTAGGCTATGGGCTTCCTAAACCAGTGCGAATCTTCATAAACAGAGCCGCAAGTAATTGCATCACGTCTACCGATAAAGAGGAACACCACAAGAGGCAATCAGTCTTTGATAGGATTGGCGAGGTAGAACCACGACGGTCAGCCTTTTATAGGCTTGGGTCAAATCTCAAACCTGCTAAGAGGAAGTCCGTACATGACAGACTCGGAGCTGCTCGAGTTTTAAAAGAACACACCGACACTTCAATTGAAATAGAGTCTTCAAAAAGGCTTAGAAGTATAGTTCCCTCTCGTATGAGACGAGAAGTTGATGTCCATGTTTCATGCAGCGAAGTCTTGAAGGTCCAGCCAAAGACCATCATATACACCCATGTGCAAGAAAGAAAAGAAGACCTTGATTCAGGTTATGGAGCGACACCAATTCAAGATGAGGTGCCGTCTTCATTCCACATTAATTGACATGATGAGATCCCGGTTGCGGGGGCATGTACAACTTGATTGATGAAAGTGATGCGCAAGTTGGCCCTATTAATTAAGTAAACGACAATAATTGACATGATGAGATCCCGGTTGCGGGGGGTGATGGAAATGATGAGCAAGTTGGCCCTATTAAGTAAACGAGACTACTTGATAATCCACCAAAACTGCAGCACGTGGTTAAACTGCTAATGCATCTCGCTTGTCTATGGGTGGGCCCAAGTCATAGACGCTCCTGGCCCGCATGAGTCTAAACTGTGAACGGCTCTACTTTAAAAGAAATATTTGAACTACGTTTGACTTGATCTCCTTCGTGGGAGTACGTAGGCAGCTTAGAAATTTTATTGTCTAAGTTCAGTCATAACAAAATTTTTATATTTTCGTCCAAGATAGTGATTTTATTCAAGCACACATTAATTATTGGCATGAGAAGGAGGAGAACAAGTCTAGGAAGCATTGCAAGTCTTGGAATGGAAAATAATTGTCAAATCATGCATTCACGCAACAATTGGCCATTGTTTGGTATTTTGGTCATATCTCGGTCTATAATAGTCCGATTGAGATGATCTGGGTAACGTTGGAAAGCTAACTTACAGAGCTACGACTTTCATGAAGACACCTAAGCTTGAAAATGACTGTTGAATGGTCAAAATTCGAGGGAAAGGGAAGGCACAAATCTGTCAAAAATTTTCTGTGCTCTTATCTCATTTTATCTCATTTAAATCTTCCAAGAAGAAGGTATATTTTCATGGTTCCTTTTAATGTCCAGGGATATTAAAATGCAAGAGAAGTATTCGTTAACAATCCAATAAAGGAACGAGCTAAAGCGAAGTGACAGTTTGCGTGGCATCGAGTTATTGTTGAGCATGGGTAAAAAGAGTTTCAATTGATCATGAATTTCTTCGAACTTCTCTTTCATGCTCCGGGTCCAGTTGTTAGGGGCGGTGGATTAATTGCGATGATTGTGATTTTTTTAGTCCCATTAAATCGTTTGTGTTTAAATTGTTGGAAATCGGTGAATAAAACGATACACAAAATATATATATATATATATATATATATATATATATATATATATATATAATATATATTTGTCCCGAAAGATGGAATTTAATTTATAGAAAATTAATTCCAACCAATTTTGGTACGAAACCAAAATTACATATATATATATATATATATATATATATATATATATATATATATATATATATATATATATATATATATATATATATTAACAAATAGGGATTTATTTTATCAAAATAATCCCACCACAACTAGTACGAAACTAGTACACGGGACTTAATTTCCACGAAATTATTCCCACCACAACTAGTACGAAACTAGTACAAGGATTTAATCTATCCGAGATTAATCCTACCACTTGGTCCGAAACCAAGAACAAAAAATAAACAGGATACGGGTTTCTAACCTGAGGTTTTTAACCCAACGCGAAGAAACAAGAAGAAGCAGAGGAAGCCCGAGTCGTGTGTACACACACTCTCCTTAAAACCGATTCGCCACCTCCCGAGGGTGCTAGGATCGTTGTGGCGTCAGTCTCCCAGGATAAAACGGACTGCGACTTTGGCGTTCGAGCACTCCAACCCAAAGCCCGGCGAACTAGAACACAAGTTGAGCACTCCCATGTTTTACAGAAGATGTTGGCAGAAATTTTTCTCTTTGGACCAAAAGATGAGCATAGAGAGTAAGTAAAAAGAAAGCTTTTGATTTCACAAACGGAGTGAATGAAACAATCTGCCAACATCATGTATTTGTAGGGAAGAGTGGAGTTAAAAGCTTATAATGGCACATTAATCCAACATAAATTCAATTTTATAATTGAATTATAACGTTCGAAACGGTCGTACTTATTATCGAAATAATATCAACGGTCACGAACTTAATACGCGATTAATTCGTACCGACCATAACGACCCGTTTCAAAATATCTGAGTGACCGAGAAGTCCGTACACACCCGAAGGTTTAACGAATTGGGACCGAAAACCACACCCGAGTGGTCCGCAAGCACCGAAACGGTGCAGCACGAATCAATGCATATAGCATTGATTCGTGCCAACTCATGTTGCTGAGCACGAAAGGAGCTCATGCACGAAAGGAGCTCAATTCCAAAAGCACGAATGCTACTTAAATCCCAAATCATTAATTAATTAAGCTTTCAAGCTTAATTACCCCTCTTAAGCTTAATCAAGCTTACAACGAATCAAGCTTGATAACCAAATTACGAATTGCTAATTTAATTAGCAATTAAGCTTAAGAGTTCGGCTTCTCTCAAATAGGTTCACTTTGAGAATCAATTTCTCATTCACCTATTACCCATTTTGAGCGTACATTATATCAAATTCTTCGTCTCACTACGAAGAACCCGAATCCACTTTGACCCGACCCAAATCGGAAGTGGACCCCACATATATTTGTACCACAAAATAATCACTCAAAATGCCATTTGTAGCTAAAAATTCCAACAATCCCCCACATGAATGAAAATTGATTTTCGGGACGAGGAAAAATCGACACGAACGTGCTCAACGGTCGATCCCTGCATAGCATAGGTAGGTGTTACCCTTTGAACCTTGCCTTGTGAAAATATATTTACTCTACTGGCTGTATGGTAGAACTTGATGTCTTTGAACCAACTGCCGTTTGTGTAGACGATGACATATCCCACACAGGAACCTTCCAACCTTTGTTCTGTTCTTATGGGTGTGCCCGTTTTGGTCATGGGTCACTTTCCTGTTTCTGCGAGAGTTTCTAAAGAATTGAGCCCATCAATTCTCCTTTGAAGCGACCCCACTTCTCTCTAACATAGGTGATTCTTTATCGAGTATCCCGCATACTCACACATGTCAACCGACATTCGAATCATTAAAGCATCAACATGCTAGCCTCGTGCGGGAGTCACTGTTCTAACGAGGAATGGTAGGGAGTCCGAGACCCCCACAGTGACACGCTTCGTTCCATAATTTAGTTGTCCCATTGAACCTAGGTGCCAGCTAGGTTGGGTGTCCACTATAGAACTTTTATTCCATGGGCTTCAAACCCATTCCTCGTGCCAACTTCTCAACAACATCTTTGCACAACCCTTTGGTTAGCGGATCCGCTATATTGTCCTTTGACTTCACATAGTCAACAGAGACAACACCCGTTGTGAGTAGTTGTTTAATGGTATTATGTCTTCGACGTATATGTCTAGACTTACCATTATACATATGACTTTGTACTCTCCCAATTGTTGCTTGATTATCACAATGCACACTAATTGGAGGTACAGGTCTATCCCAAGAAGGAATATCCTCCACAAAATGGCGTAGCCATTCAGCCTCTTCACAACATTTGTCTAAGGCTATCAGCTCAGATTCCATCGTGGATCTAGCTATCAAGGTTTGTTTCGAGGATTTCCAAGAAACGGCTGCACCGGCTAACGTAAACACGTAGCCACTCGTGGACTTAGAGTCCTTCATATCCGATATCCAGTTAGCGTCGCTATACCCTTCAAGTACAGCAGGATATCGTGTATAGTGCAGTCCCCAGTCACGAGTATACCTCAAGTATCTCATAACTCTCACTATTGCCTTCCAGTGCGCATCACTGGGGTTACTTGTATATCTACTGAGTTTGCTAACCGCAAAGGCAATATCAGGCCTGGTACAGCTCATTAGATACATCAAACTTCCAATAATCCTAGTGTATTCTACTTGAGAGATACACTTTCCGCGATTCTTGGACAGATGAACGCTAGTATCTAATGGAGTCCTAGCCACTTGATAATCGTCCTTGTTAAACTTTCCAAGGATTTTATCAACATAATGAGATTGGCTTAACACGAGACCATCAGGTCTTCTCACGATTCTAATCCCAAGGATTAAATCTGCCAAACCCATATCCTTCATGTCAAATCTCGAATTTAACATGTCCTTGGTAGATTTGATCATTCGATCGTTACTACCCACGATGAGTATATCATCCACATATAAACAAAGAATGACATAACCGTCTATCGTTTCCTTAACGTAGACACACTTGTCACTTTCATTTATATTGAACCCATTGGTTAACATCGCATGGTCAAACTTCTCGTGCCACTGCTTAGGCGCTTGTTTTAAACCATATAACGATTTAACCAATTTACAGACTTTCTTTTCTTGGCCCGGAACCGCAAAACCCTCAGGTTGTTCCATATAGATTTCTTCATCTAACTCGCCATTCAAGAAAGCTGTTTTCACATCCATTTGATGTACTTCCAAATTCCGCAGTGCGGCTATGGCAAGTATCATCCTTATGGAATTTATTCTCGTTACAGGAGAATACGTGTCGAAGTAATCAAGGCCCTCACGTTGCCTGTAACCCTTAATTACATGCCTAGCCTTATACTTCTCAATGGAACCATCAGGTTTCAACTTCCGTCTAAAGACCCACTTGGATCCCAAGGGCTTACTACCCGGAGGAAGATCAACCAGTTCCCAAGTGTGATTCTGTAGGATAGAATCCACTTCACTCTTTATAGCCTCTTTCCACATTGGTCCTTCCGTAGAAGTCACAGCTTCTACATACGTTTGAGGCTCGTTTTCTAACAAACATGTCAGAAAATCCGGTTCATTTTCTAGTAAACAAGTTATAATGTGCGTATCACATTCTAACATGTACGTCAGAAAATCTGGACCAAAGGATTTTTCAATCCTAACTCGCTTGCTACGTCTAGCTTCGAGCTCGGGTTCTATTTCAGACCCTCCGCTGCCGTTATCCACAGCCTCGTCGAATGTTCGTTTCGACGTACTAGGTCCCTCACTGGACCTACACGGAAATACATCTTCAAAGAACGATGCATTCCTTGATTCAATTACCGTGTTCTTATGTACGTCCGGATTATGGGACTCGTGTACTAAGAACCGATACGCACTACTATTATGTGCATAGCCAATAAAGATACAGTCCACCGTCTTAGGACCTATCTTTATTTTCTTAGGTGTTGGCACCAAATCTTTGGCAAGACACCCCCACACTTTCAGGTACTGGTAGGAAGGTTTCCTACCGTTCCACAGCTCATAAGGAGTCTTATCGAGCTTCTTGCGGGGAACCTTATTTAAAAGGTAGTTACTTGTCAAAGTCGCCTCACCCCACATACTTTGAGGTAGGCCCGAACTTATCAACATCGCATTCATCATCTCTTTCAATGTGCGATTTTTTCGTTCCGCAACACCGTTTGATTGAGGTGCGTAAGGTGTCGTACGCTCGTGTATGATACCTACACTTGCACAGAAGTCACCAATAGGTGCTTCGTACTCACCACCTCGATCGCTTCTAACCTTCTTAATCCTCCGATTAAGTTGGTTTTCCACTTCATTCTTATAAAGAATGAATTTATCGACGGCCTCGTCTTTGCTCTTAAGCAAATACACATAGCAGTATCGTGTGCTATCGTCGATAAACGTGATAAAATATTTATTACCACCGCGCGATTGTAATGATCTAAAATCACATACATCGCTATGAACCAACTCAAGTGGTTCCGTTTTCCTTTCAATCGATTTAAAAGGAATTTTCGTTTGTTTTGCCTCAACACAAATCTCACATTTGTGCTTATCAACTTGAAATGCAGGAATATGGTCCAAGTTAATTAATCTACGTATAGAATTAAAATTAACATGACCCAGTCTACCGTGCCACAAACACGAAGACTCAAGTAAGTAGGCTGAATTAATAATACTCTTATTAATCACAGTTATTGCATCGAGCTTAAAAAGCCCATCTAGCACATAACCCTTGCCTACGTACGTTCCTGATTTCAACAAAACAACCTTATCTGACTCAAACACTAACCGGAAGCCATTCTTGTTCAACAATGAACCAGAAACTAAGTTCTTCCGTAGCTCCGGTACGTACAAGACGTTGTTCAGAGTCAGCTCTTTCCCAGAGGTCATTCTGAGAATTACTTTGCCCATGCCTACCACAGTAGACTGAGCAGAGTTTCCCATCCATACCTTCCCACAATTAGTCGTCTCGAAGGTAGTAAACAACTTACGGTTGGAACACATATGTCGGGTCGCACCCGTATCAATGAACCATTCCGTTTGGTTCGAACCAACCAGGTTTACCTCGGTCACCATTGCCGAGAGGATGATTTCGGACTCATTCTGATTGACCCGCACCACGTTAGATTCAGAATTACAATTCTTCCTCTTAAGTGCTTTACAATCAGCCCACTTGTGGCCCATAATGCCACAAGGCCCACAATTGAAGCATCTTCCGTAGAATTGCTTCTTGAAGTCCTTTCTGCCCAAAGGCAACAAATGGATACTAGGTTCCACTTGAAAGGCTTCACTCACGATCATTCCTTCGTCAACTTGACTTAGGACGATCCCGGAATCCACCATCTTGTATTCAAGTAATCGGCTAACGACAAGCATTTTTGCCTTAGCGTCATCACTATTATACTTCAGGTCCAAAGATTCCCACAACGAGTCACACAAACCGTTCAAAACATAGTTTAGGCATAGGAAAACCAAATATTTCCAAATCCTCACTATGCTAACGGTTTGAGCGTTAGACTCATGTTCCTTTCCACTAGGAACCATCTCGGTCAAGAACCATGACATGCCGAGAATCATTAGGTTGTACAACATTTTAAGTTGCAACCCTTCGAAATTAAACATCTTGAATTTCCATGGTCTTTCGACCAATCCACAAGGTACCGTCCCATGTACCTTCATCGTAGGGATATACCCTTTGATGCCACCACCGGTCTCCGAACCAAAGTTCACCGGGGTTTCGGAAAGTGCAACTACGTTGCCGATCCGGCCATTTGAATGTGCACCACGAGCAACATTCACAGTTCCACCACTCGTGGAATCCATCGATTTAATCACCAAAAAAATGGTCGATTTTAAGATTGTTGGGAATCGGTGAATAAAACGATACAAAAAAAAAAAAAAATATATATATATATATATATATATATATATATATATATATATATATATATATATATATATATATATAATATATATTTGTCCCGAAAGATGGAATTTAATTTATAGAAAATTAATTCCAACCAATTTTGGTACGAAACCAAAATTACATATATATATATATATATATATATATATATATATATATATATATATATATATATATATATATATATATATATATATATATATATAATATATATATTAACAAATAGGGATTTATTTTATCAAAATAATCGCACCACAACTAGTACGAAACTAGTACACGGGACTTAATTTCCACGAAACTATTCCCACCACAACTAGTACGAAACTAGTACAAGGATTTAATCTATCCGAGATTAATCCTACCACTTGGTCCGAAACCAAGAACAAAAAATAAACAGGATACGGGTTTCTAACCTGAGGTTTTTAACCCAACGCGAAGAAACAAGAAGAAGCAGAGGAAGCCCGAGTCGTGTGTACACACACTCTCCTTAAAACCGATTCGCCACCTCCCGAGGGTGCTAGGATCGTTGTGGCGTCAGTCTCCCAGGATAAAACGGACTGCGACTTTGGCGTTCGAGCACTCCAACCCAAAGCCCGGCGAACTAGAACACAAGTTGAGCACTCCCATGTTTTACGGAAGATGTTGGCAGAAATTTTTCTCTTTGGACCAAAAGATGAGCATAGAGAGTAAGTAAAAAGAAAGCTTTTGATTTCACAAACGGAGTGAATGAAACAATCTGCCAACATCATGTATTTGTAGGGAAGAGTGGAGTTAAAAGCTTATAATGGCACATTAATCCAACATAAATTCAATTTTATAATTGAATTATAACGTTCGAAACGGTCGTACTTATTATCGAAATAATATCAACGGTCATGAACTTAATACGCGATTAATTCGTACCGACCATAACGACCCGTTTCAAAATATCTGAGTGACCGAGAAGTCCGTACACACCCGAAGGTTTAACGAATTGGGACCGAAAACCACACCCGAGTGGTCCGCAAGCACCGAAACGGTGCAGCACGAATCAATGCATATAGCATTGATTCGTGCCAACTCATGTTGCTGAGCACGAAAGGAGCTCATGCACGAAAGGAGCTCATGCACGAAAGGAGCTCAATTCCAAAAGCACGAATGCTACTTAAATCGCAAATCATTAATCAATTAAGCTTTCAAGCTTAATTACCCCTCTTAAGCTTAATCAAGCTTACAACGAATCAAGCTTGATAACCAAATTACGAATTGCTAATTTAATTAGCAATTAAGCTTAAGAGTTCGGCTTCTCTCAAATAGGTTCACTTTGAGAATCAATTTCTCATTCACCTATTACCCATTTTGAGCGTACATTATATCAAATTCTTCGTCTCACTACGAAGAACCCGAATCCACTTTGACCCGACCCAAATCGAAAGTGGACCCCACATATATTTGTACCACAAAATAATCACTCAAAATGCCATTTTTAGCTAAAAATTCCAACATAAATTATACTGAATTTGAAAAAAAAACGCGGCAAAAGTGCGGTAATAATTAATATTAATATTATTATTATTATTATTATTATTATTATTATTATTATTATTATTATTATTATTATTATTATATATTCATATTACTATTAAAATATCAAAAAGAAGCAAAAGAAAAAACAGAAACGGAAAAAAACCAAAAAAAAAAAAAAAAAAAAAAAAAAAAAAAAAAAAGGAAAAAGGAAAGTTGGAATGTTACAGGTGCATTTTGTTTGTGTATGGTAAGTCATGTGTACGTACATAGTATATATAATATTAAATGTATGTTATGTATATAATATAAAAGGCAAGATGGTGGCGTGGTGCTGTAAAGAAAGTAACTGGTGGGGCCCAAGTGAAGTAATTCCTTATCTCATTCCCAATAAAAATGGTAGTCACGTGGAGGCTATCTTGTGTAGATGAGTTCAAGCTAAACTGCAGCTGCAGCTTGAGTCTTCCTTCATAAAATCGAGGAGTAGTTCCTAGTGCCATAAATAGAGCATTCCTCAATCGCAGTGTACGTTATGGTAAGCTAAAAGAGCTCTAACAGCGGCGACTGGCAGCGACGGAACTCCAGCTCACCGGTTAGCCTTCCGCGACCGAAAAAGATGGGAAACGGAGCTTCTGAGATGCGATCCTACGTCAACAAAAGTAGACTCCAAACCAGCGGTTCGCGACGGTCAGCGTCCGGCAGCGGCTAGTATCAATATGCATGCGTGGTTTCCGGCAGCGTCAATTTCCAATGGCGACAGGGAGACCTCCGGCGACTTCTGCAAAACAAAAAAAAAAGAATCAAACGATGGTTGGTGGGGCTATGTTGTCATTGTCTAATTCAATCCATCCCATCTATTAAGTCTCCACTTTCACGCAAGGTAGGCCTTCACCAACATCACTGCCCTTCAGTGGCATCCGCGGTGAGTAGAAGCAGCTTCCTTCGTCTCTTTCTTCTCTTGAAAAAACGGAGGTGCGACGATCCACTTCCGGCGGCAGCAGAGGTCAACGTGCATGGTCTCTTGGTGAGAGTAGCAATGAACCTCCTACGACAGTAAAAAAGAACACAAAAAACTCTCCGGCGACTCATGTGAAGCTCCGGAGGCAGAACTCCGGCAACCTCCTAAAAAAAAAAAAAAAAAAAAAAAAAACTTCCGGCCACTTTTGCGAAGAACTTCGGCGGTCTCCAGCGACTTCTGAAAAAAAAAAAAATTCCGGCGAGGGGTGGCCCAAGTCAGTGATAAATCCTCCAACAACGTCGTTCTCCGGCGAAAGGCTGAATGGTGTTATCCTTGAGAGGTAATCTTTCACTGGCTTTAATGACGAAGGATGGATTCCGGCTCCCATCTACCTCCGGCAGTCTCAACAACCTGGTGATCTCCGGTGACCTCAACAAAAAAAAAAAAAAAGAAAAAAATCCGGCGAAGAGATTTCACATTGCTTGTTGTTCCTTAAGGTTGATGGAATCCTTTGAGGCAGTGTAAAGGCAGTGATCGACAAAATCCATATTCATGTTGCTCCCTGACTCTTCCTTTAGCTGTACGTATTATCATTCCTGCAAATAAAATGTGTTTGGAGGAGGATGGTTGATAAAATTTTTACCTGACTAGAAAGCTAAGCTGCGGATTGCTCCTTCTCGATCCTCTGCTTGTTGATTGGTGCGAATGAGCGTATGTTGAAACTCATATTTATAGCACACAAGCTGGATGGTGTTTTAGTTAGTGTTGAGCTGAAATTATGCGTCACCATAAGGTTGGGAGTCTACTTCTGCGGCGCCAAGCTAAATTATGTCGCTGGAAACAAACTTCCTCCTAGAATTAGGATAATACTGACAAAGATGTTGGGTCTGATAATATTTTGGAAAGTTAAAGCTACCGCTCGTCAAGGAAAAATCAATTAAAATTTTGGAAATCTTATGGGCTTGGTTTCGGGCTTTGGAGCATCCAATAGGGGCTAATAAGTGTTAGCATCCAACATGGCAGATTGGGCTCATGAAATCAAGATGCATTACGCCAGTGTCATTTTAAAATAATTTTGGGCTCAAGATATATTATGCATGTGTCTTGGGTTCATGGGAAATAGATGCACCACGATGAATTTAAAGGATCGTTTTGTTAAGTTTCAAGACTTCCTCGCTCCAAGCACATTAAGCGACATGTCCCGGCAAGTCTCGAGTGGGCAATTTGTAGACACAGAAAATTTGAACCTAACAAATGGACTGATAAGTGGTTATTGGACCGACATCGGGATTGATTATTGGGCCAATTTAATTAATTGGATCATAGAAATTAAATTGATTTAATTAGTCCAATTAAATAAGATTTGGGCTATTGAATTAATTGATTAGTTAGCCCAAGCCCACTTCATATTTGAATTTAAATTATAATTATAATTTAAATATAATATTAATTTTATTATATTTGAATTAGATAATTATAATTTAATTTGAATTTGAATTAGATTATACAATAATGAACCTGGACTTGATCTTGGACAAGGTTCATTTTCCTAATTAATTAATTAATTAATTAGTTAACTAAAAAGGGGAGTTGGTTGAGGAATTTTGGTTAAGCGTTTAGTATAAATAGGGCCTTCATTTTCATTCCAACACACCACTTGAAAGCTTGAAGCACTTGAAAGCTTGAAGAACTTGAAGACTTAAGGAGTTGAGAGCATTTGAAGAGCCTGAAGGCATTGAAGAACGCTTGAAGATTTGAAGGCATTTTTGTTGATTTTGCAGGCAATTTGAATCCATTGCAGGTACTTTGGAGCTTTGCAGAATTGATTGTCTCGAAGATCTTGAAGTTTTTCGAAGGCATTTGAGGATCTTAAAGCAGCTTGAATCCATTGCATGTGTTTTTGAAACTTTGCAGGGTTGATTACTTCTAAATTCTTGACGCTCGTTGTTGGAAGTTACGCCACTTGAATCCCGGAAGCTACGCCACTTGAATCCTGGAGGCACGCGCCAATTGAATCCCAGAGGCTACGCTACTTGAATCCCGGAGGCACTTCCATAGATAACGTCAGTGAAGAATCAGAGGACTAGACAGCGATTTTGTACCTGCATTGAATTATACACACACTATACAAGGAATTTTGTGAATATATACAAAGTTTACTTTTTTGTGTTTACAGGGCAGTTGAATGGGTTGAGAACCATCCCAACTGTTAACCAGGCTGGTAGAGACCGGTCAGGTATATAAATATTATATAGGACAAAGGTCCACTATACGGGCAGTTGAATGGGTTGAGAACCATCCCAACTGTTAACCAGGCTTGTAAAGACCTGTCAGGTATATAAATATTATATAGAGCTGCGGCTCATCGGTCGGTTGCGATCGACCCCTCCGTGCTGTGAGACGGGGCAGGGTGCTGCGGGGCCGTGTCAGAGCTATATGCGCTGACCCTCATGTATGGGCATGCGATTGGTCCTGTGGCGCCAACAAAGTGTGCTATGTGATGAAGTATGGATGAGTTGTTGTTATGAGTAAATTGGGGATAAGACTATGGGATTTGTACCGGGGATTGTACATGTTGGGTTATGATTATTTATTGTGCTTATCTTATCTGTCTTGCCTGTTGTAAACTGTATATGCTGGGTATAACTGCTGTCGGTTCTTAGCCCTATCTGTTGAGTCTATCCCTGTTTTAAAAGCTAGAGTTCGTAGGATATATCTTCATGTTCAAAATGGTTTTCGTATATCTATATATATAACTATATGTATTGTATTTCAACGCGTTGGAGTGGGTTACCAGCATCTCTCGCTGAACAGATATATTTGGCTTTCAGGCACTGACGTGTAGATCATTGGAGCGCGCTAGAAGCTTGGGCGTAGCTTAGATAGTTTTCCCTTTCGGCCTGCGTGCCATGATTTAGTATTGATACTGATTGAGGATATTAGTTAGTTAGCCTGTGCATCTGAGTTCTCTAGCTCAGGTGTGGCATAGCACCCCGTACTCTGGTATTATGTTTTGAGATTTAATGAGATTTCTCCTTTATTTTACAAGTTTTAAATATCTTGAAAATCTGGGGTGTTACATATACGGTCTCCGCGGCCTTACGACATCTTTTTGCTCGTTTTATCAATTTCATATATATGTTATTTACCGGGTTCAGTAATTCGGGTCCACCCCGGGTAATTAAATCCATCATTGCTGCTCTTGTTGGGAGTTGCTGTACCAGCTCAAGCGTGTTCTTCATCCTTTGATCT